TTTGTCCCTATCATTGGTTTATATATTTGTTGATTATTTGCATAAATGATGAAAAACTTATTACCAAAACCAAAACAATCAGAAATATTGTGTTGATTTAGTTCTGCTACTGAGATGTAGTTTAATCAATAGATTAGATACTCTTGAGTTGAGCCGCGGATTAAACTTTGTTTTAATTTTGCTGAACAGAGGGAACGAAGCGTTAGTGGATTGCGAACACAAATGCGTGGATTAGGTGTCGATATGTCCAGCGATGAAGAGGTAAATATTGTCAACTATGTTATGGGGTTAACAGTGAACCAAATGATGAACCAGTCCACCAACTCGTAGTTCACTTGTACACCAAGTGTCCGATGAATGATTCACTGGCTGTGCACCACTCTGACCATTGCCCTACCATTTGTTTCATTAGTGTCTACTTTTGTATTGAATTAAATGCTGATATTTGATGTGTTTTAGGGCTTGAATTACGAGGAGGCAGTGGATGATAGACAGTCGCGGCCACCCATTAAGCGTATGCGCGAAGACACTGAGGGAAGAGTGCGGAGCANTACTTTGGTATTGAATTAAATGCTGATATTTGATGTGTTTTAGGGCTTGAATTACGAGGAGGCAGTGGATGATAGACAGTCGCGGCCACCCATTAAGCGTATGCGCGAAGACACTGAGGGAAGAGTGCGGAGCAGCTCTAAGATGCCTCGCGACCAGTCGGGTGTCCGAGATGTTAAGGTATGTCCGAGTGATGGATGCCCTCACCATTACACGTGTTGTTGTGATTAGATGAATATACGCTCTTATAATGAATGATGAATATTTGCCGAGCTTTTTAACCAAATGAACAACACTTTGATTGAATGCATTGATTTGTTTGAAATGTTTGTACTAATGAATTGTATGATTGTGTGAACAGATGCGAAAGAAAGTGCGGTTTATGGGTAAGAAAGCCCAGACAACGATGAATAGGAACGCCCGCAAAGGGGAGGCCGACCGTAAGATCCTGAACGTAAAGCCCAAGCACTTATTCGCCGGCAAACGAGGACTCGGGAAAACACAAAGACGTTAACACGTGTTGTGAAGGTATTAGCAGTTGATTGTTGTATTGATGTGCTTATGAAGTGATGATTAGTACAGTTCTGATTCACTGAAAGGCCAATCGGTCTCTATTGAAGTCATATTGAAATAACTGATTGTTTTTATTTGTAACCATTTGTTTGAGTCTCAAATTTGGATTACATTTTTGTTTTACTTTTCTCTCTCAATAGGAATTGAATATCTCTTGGAGTCTTCATATAATCAATTGTTTAGAGTTTATTTTATTGTAATTTATTTTTGAATGACCTGTACATATGCTTAGACTTTTTAATGTGTAATTACCGGTAAATTAAAGTAATAATTGATTTATAATAAATTGTTTAATTTTTCAATAAGTCATTTGAGTCTTTATTTAACCCAATCTGTTGTCTCATTGTTGGCTATCGTTATGTTTTCACTGACAGAGTGATACGGTTCATAATGGGTGACATTGACGCCATCGATGGTCACTTGACACCCGTCCCACACATACATCGCTGTCTTAATGTCGTGTTTCTCGGCAGTGATCCAAAGGGGTTCGCTTTGTGTCCACCAATGGGGGTGAGAGGTGTTGGGGAAGGGGG